TTGCTTGGAGGTGGCAGGGGAGAAGAGGGCCTTGGTGGCCCCCAGGACAGCAAGACCACTATTAGGTTACCTGTCAACCCACGCAGGAGTGAGGAGCCAGAACAGCTGAAAAAGGGGAGCCATTCAGAGGTCGGTGAGTCATCACAAGGAACTGGCGCAGAGCCTGACCCATGGGAAGTGTTTGGAGCATGGGCAGTGGGGGAGACAGGCCCACCAGGAGAACATGGGGACACAGCAAGGACAGCCAATCCACCCCCCAATCAGTGCAGGACCACTCAGAGGAGACTGATCAAGAATGCAGAATTGTATGGGGTGCAGTTTGATGAAAAGATTCAGGCCCAGATCACAGTTTCTACACAACCCAAGTGTACCAGGTCTCTGGAGAGCCGAAAGTACCTATAAGGTCAACCATTTGTGCAATCTGAGCTGCACAAAGTCTTCCCTAAGGAAATAGCAGCAAAGCAGCAATTTAGCTCAACCACACAGCTCAAGTACTGGTTCCCACAGGAAGTGCCCCCATTTCAGAAATAAGCAAAGGACAAAAAATTAGTTCTAGCCCAGGCCCACCACCAGTGCCTCGGGGCCCACCAGGGGACCTGAGGCATGGAGTCTGACCAGACTCCACTCCCACATCCAGGTAAACCACCAGCACCTTGGGGCCCACCCAGGGGCCCAGGGCATGGATCCAGGGACCAGACCCCCAGCCCACAACCAGGCACACCTCCCTCCCCACAACTAGGTACACCACCAGCACCAAGAAGTATGCCAAAAATATCACCTCCATGTGGGTGGCCCACCACAGTAACCACGGATGCCGCGAAAGTGGCTAGATGTCACAACTACCATGCAGATGGTCTGCCAGCCACTGGTGTGCACTGACACAAGGAGAGTCACCAGCAGAGACCAAAGAAAAGAAGAGCATGTCTCTTTCCACAAAGCTCTATGATAATATTGGGGGACCTGAACACATTTTTCAGCATTGGACAGATCTAGGCAACAAATCAACAGAGTAACCATTACTCTTTCAGAGGGAGAGAAGTAATCTAGGGTTATCAGTGGCGGGATGGGGGAGAGAGAGGGAGATAGGGAAAGATTGGACAAGAGGCATAAAGAATAAGTACAATTTGTTACAATATACATACTAGTAATATTGATTTGATCAACATATGTCAACATTGAATTCCAGAAATATGTATAATCAATTATGATTCAATAAAAAAAAAGTTATGTAGAAATCAAACATTTATTTTTTAAGAAGTCGTTTTTTCTGATACAATCTAGAGCACAGGAAAAGCCCAGCAGACGTGCTGTTTATGACATGCCCAGCAACTCCCCTGGGGTCACTGTGGCTTTGTGGCATGGCCTATACCCTGAGCCCCAACTGCATATACGGCTGGTGCAGGGGAGGGGCCGCCCTGGTCACTTACTGCTAGTGTCCCCAGTAGCCCTGGCGAGGCCGAGCACTTGCTCAAAGGTGGAAATGCAGTGGCTGAAGTGTCAGGGAACGTGCTCATGACGATATTCCCACTCACAGAGGCTGAAAACCAAATGGACACCAGGGGAGCTGTCAGGCATTCAGGAGCTCTTTCTGCTTTTCTTATAGTCACAAAAGCCATGTCCAAATACATTACCAGTCTGGACGCCTGCATCAGTGACTGCAGTCTTGACTGTTCCAGCCTGTTCAGGAGATAGTTAATTTCACATCAGACACCAGAATGAGAAGCAAACTCCTGTTACTTCTGTTTGTTTCTAATCTAATGCATTTCACATTTCCTTAGTACCACTGGTGTCCAGGGAGACTCTGCTGGGCACTGCAGGGAACTCAACAATAAAACAGGTTCACACTCATTCACTCATTCATTCAGTAGATACTTTTCGAGTGCCTACTGTGTGCCGGCACTGGGAGCACAAATAAGGAAGCTTCTTGCTCTATGGTCCTTGCTGTGCAGAGGAGGAGACAGAGATTAGTCTCCACAAGTCAGTGTGTAAGTCCCTCGCTTCCAAAAGCACCATGGTGCTGAGAAAATCTGTGTGCTGACATGCTCTTGGTCAGGGGTGGTTTCCCAGGAGGGGGTTCTGAGGTGAGATCTGAAGGTTGTGGAGGACTCAGAAGGTGAGGTGGCCAGGTCGGAGGACAGGTGCAGTCATTCCGGCCAAGGAAAGGGCAAATGCAGAGACCCTGTGGCAAAAGGGAAGAAGGGACATTTGAGGAATCAAGGAAGGGCCACAAGGCAAGGTGAGGTGAGGCCAGCAAGTGGGCAGGTGCCAAGACCATGTGAAGGGCATTGGGCTTGTCCCATGTCATCAGGGAAGGTTCTGGGCAAGAGGCACATTCACAGACCTGTGCTGTGAAGAACTTTCTCCAGCCACCAGAAAATAGGAAGAGCAAAGGGACAGACTGGTGGTGGGTAGGTGGATGGGGATCTGATTTGGACGGGCAGAATTGGGGAGAGCAGGAGCAAAAGGCGTGAGGTGGAATGTTTTCCAGCAGGGAGAAATTCACCAAATAGGGTCAGAAACCAACTTTTCCTGAAAATGGCATGTCCTGAAGTAAGGACATCATATTTTGGTTTCCTCCAAAGTAATAAAACTGTAAATACAACATCATCAGTACATTTCACACTGTGTTTGTTCTTTGTCTACAGAAAGTCACTCTGACAATTAACTTAGTTGAAGCGGATTTGCACTGTGGCTATTAACAATGTTAGTTTGGACTGAATTGCAGCTCACTTGCTCTTACTAGCTGTGTGATTTGGGCAAGTTACTGCACTCTGTTTTCTCACCTGTAAAGTGGGCCAGTACAAGGCTCATGTAGAGCTGCTACTAAGATTCCGCAATGCCCACACAGGGTGGTCAGCCAGTGTAAGGAGGTGTTCTCCACAGCACAAACCACTGCCACCCCCCTCCACTCACTCTTCCCCCCACACTCACACACTCTCACACTCACACAGAGCCCCCAATCACAGTTTGCCCAAGACTTGGCCCATGACTGGCCTGCCACCTGTCCTATTCCATGTCCTGGGCCTCCCACCCTACAAAGCTACGCTGAGCACATGAGCACACAGCCCCCCATGGAGGGGACTCGGGAGGAGTAGGAGGACTCACCAGGACAGCCATACTGGCCGTGGTGGTCACTGAAGGCTGTCCCCTCGCAGAGGGCTGCTGGCCTGCCTGCATCACTGTCTGCAGCAGAGTCTGGCTTGGCTGCTGCTGACTGGTCTGCGGCACTCCTGGATGCAGTTGGAGTCTCCAATGTTCAGCCAGCACCTAGAAGAAAACCACACTTTTACACAGAAATTACTGGCACATTTTCCTCAATACCACAATGCATTTTTCTCTTGAATTAGATAAAAACATAACGCTGGATGTAAATATCGTGAAGTCAAGAGTGTTGGCAGCACAACACAGGACTAAAGGGCTGCAGTGTCATTTCCATTCTGTCACTTGCTGTGGACTCATGACCGACACATGGACTGAACTACCTTCTTGTCCTTAGTGATACACTCTGCACAGAGAGAGGCGACTTGAATCGGATGCAAAGGCTTATCGTAGTTGATCCTGCTACAAATAGGAGGAGCAACTTCAGTTAGAGTCTCAAAGGAGGCTCTCTTCCCTATGGTGAAGAGGCGCTAAGAATCCCACACCCACCTTTCTGCTAGCACAGAGGCATGCTTTGGATTCTTCTGGAAGGGATTCATGCCAAGCCTGGAATTAAGCACATTGTTTCACCACTGCTGGTGTTATACATGACTCCACATTTTGACCCTGAAAACACCTTCCCATCCACACTCTCCCTGAGCCCCTCTAGATTAGCAAGGCCACCCTGCACCTCGTGTGGCTACAGACAACTCTCCAAAGACTCGCTGTAAGCAACATTTTAGATCATTCAGTCCTGGAGTTCCTGGACTCCCAGCCCAGCATTCTTCTTAAGCACGAGTGTCTCCCAGGTAAGCAATTATGACGTTCAGTGCCAGCTACTAAAGAAACACTGACTGAGGCTTTCATAAAGACATACACAATGAAACCAGCTCTCAACACCCAAGAATTCAAGCCTTTCTAAGTAATATATTCAAAGGATGAATAGCCAAAAAAGTTGCCTAGTAAAAATAAAATAATTATAATTCAATTTAATGTTAAATAATTAGAAGGAATGAAATCATTAAAAAGAATCATTTAAACTTACTACTTAATTTACTGAGTAAAAAAAAACTACACTTGCATATATCAGGTTTGATTAAAGCAGTGTTTCTCAAAGTTTGGTCTCAGCATCCCTTTACATTCTAAGAAATTGAGAACCCCAATGAATTTCTGTCTACCTGGTTTATATTTATTAACATTACCATATTAGAAATCAAAGATGAGAAAATTCAAAACATTTTTTAAAATAGCAATAAGAGATCTATCACAAATTTACTTAAATAGCACATTTTTAGTGAAAAAACATAATATCTTCCAAACCAAAAAACACTGGTGAATGGTATACTAGAGTACTCTCTAATACTTGATCTGACAGAAGACAGCTGGATTCTCTAATCTGCTTCTACATTCAACCTGCAGTGATTTGTTCCTTTGAAGGAAGTATATGAAGAAAAGCCCAATTCCCACAGCTATGCAGGTGGAAATGGGAGGAGCATTGATGAACTTTTCAGTGACTGTGGATATTCTTCTTTGATATTACACCAAACTTTTCTTAAAAAATAGTTGTGACATGGCATCTGAATCCACACCAGTGAGGTTTCGTGCTCTTACACTGGATCCATTGGTCTACCTGTATCGCAGGTGGGGCTTTTACCCACACACGGTTCCAGAACACCCTGCAGTGGTCAGCTGGCAGACTCTGGTCCAATGGGTTAGCAAACCCTCCTTCATTCTACAATACAATAAGATGCCAAGCACCCTCTGGAAAAGTCCATCATGCTCTCACAAAAGAAGGAGAGTGATAGAAAGCAAACAGCATCTTAGCAACATTATGAAGAATGTTTTTATCTTGCCACCACCTGGGGGGATCTCAGAGAGCCCCAGATCACACTTTGAGAACCACTGGTTCTAAAGCACAATATCCCCTGTGGAAAGAGTCTTCTATCTGCATTCTGTCCAAGGCCCCACCCCAAAGCTCCCCTGACAGAAGATGCAAAGCCCTTGGGCAGGAAACCAAACCATTTAGCCATTCTAAAATGAGACCTTGATATAGTCTAGATCAAGATAATGCGGTGATTAGGAAAAAAAGCACGAACTAGTTTTGAAAACTGACATGCCAGCTGATCTCAAAATGCAGGTGCTTATGTAAGTAATTGAGAGGAAATAACGCCCATTCGACTTACAGAGGTTTAACGGGTGGGCTTCTCTTCCCTGCAATCATGGTCATCCCCTGAAAGTGACTGATGTGCAGCTGCGTCTGTGCAGCACCTTTGTCTTGGGCGTAGATCTGGTGGGTGCACAGTGGCCGGCCACTCTTGGTCTGCAGAGGGAGAACACACGGGTGCATCCAGTCCATGCACACAACGGCGCAGGGAGGCCCTCAGGACGGGGGGCATCTCACTCTCAACAGCCCAGACTTCAGACCCCTGTCTGCACCTGGGTCTCTGCCTGAAGCCAAGAGACTAAGTCACATCAACAGACATTTGTTGAGACACTTAGGTTCGAGGCAGGTAGTGCTTTTACCCTGAGAGAGCTTATAAATCATAAGAGAATAAAACATGTGTAAAATACTACAATGCAGGCATAAGTGATATAAGTACCACAGGAAGAGACAAATTCTGGGAGAATCCAGGGAGGGTACAACACAACAGCCTGGACAAGCACCAAGACCCTTGGTGCATCTCCTGCCTCAAGTCTGTGTGGCCCAAGGGACAGGTGGCTCCCACCCCGTGTGCCAGATGCCCAGCACCCATGAGGACTCCAAGTACCTGGAGAAGGCCCTGCTGGCCAGGTGGCACACGGTCACTCCCCAAGGACCAGGCATGCTAGAAGAACCACCTCGAAAGCCACCTTTGGCCCATGCACACACAGCACCACCCACTGAGGGGACCTGCCCATCCCAATCCATGGCCACAAGGGCTCTCTGTCAGCCACTGCACTTCAGGGTCACACATCCCAGGCAATAGGTAACGGGGGCGGAACACCCCAGGAGCAGGACATAGCACAGGGCTGGAGACCAGAGAGAGGTGCAAGAGCAGCCCTGGGAACCAGAGAGGCTTTGAGATGCTGGCAAGCGAGCAAGGAGGAGCAGAACTCCAGAGGAGGGAGCCATGATCATCCTGAAGGCTTTCCAATCAGGAGCTGACAAGTGAGAGATGCCTCGGGAAGCTTATCAGGAGGATCAGCCTCGAAGAATGAGCAGGAGAGGGCACCCTGCCCAAAGGCTCTGCGTCCATAATCCACAGAAGAAACAACAGCCACCACAACAGCCACTGGTGGTGGACTGGAAAGAAAACATGCTGCTCACAGGAGCAGTGGCAGTACCAGCAACAGGACCATACTGAAAGCAGCAGCATAGCATCAGGGAAATTAGCAGGAGGAGCTTGTCTGGACTTGAGTCTGAAGCTCTGAGAGTTCAGCTAACAGGACCGTGAAGGCAGCCAGAAGCAGGAACTCAAAAGGGAGCCTAAAGGACTGGCCGGGGACTGTAAGGCTGAGCCACACGACTTTTCTCTGCATGGCCACCATGTTCCATCTGTTCTATTCTAGATGAGAAGACACTACCATACTTGCATGACTCATCCATCATCCCTGAACACAGCTGCTACTGGAAGCTGGCCCCACCGCTGGCAGGAGTTCAGGCACCACCTATCCCAAGTCCAATAGCCCTGAGTCCTGTCTGGCTCTGGCCATGCTGGCCCATCCCTGTGCCTCTCTCCACTGCCACCATGACTGGCCAAAGTGTCCCCTGACTGCTCTCCCTGCCCACCCCCCACCCCTCCAACCCATTTCCATCTGTGGCCAGAATAACTCAGTCTCACTACACCCTCCTCCTACTCTGACCCATTAACCGGCTTCCTGGTGCTTGTGCCCCCTGCACTCTGCACACCCAGCATTCATGCTTGGCATGCACTAGCTCCGCTCCACTCTACCTGCACTCCCTGCAGGGGTAGTACGGGGCCCTCTTGACGTCCTCTGCATACCTCCTGAGCCCGTTGCTCTACCTTTTCACTCACCAATGAGACACAGAAGGAGAAGCATCAAAGGCACATCAAAACCCTGCCTGGATGAACACACACTGCCAGCTCCCATGCATAAAGCCCAGGAGAAGGGACGTGCGCACCTGTCTTCACAGCCAGGATCAGGTGTTTGTTCGCTGCACCTCGCACTAAGCCAAGCTTGGCTCACAGCTGGGCTGGCTGTACCTGTGAGAGCTCCCAGGCCGAGGCCTGCACCACGAGCTCCTGCTGTGCTGGCACCAGACATCTGAGGCCTAGCAAGCAGCTCGTTTCACAGCCTAGAAGGCACCAGTCACTGGCTCTTCTTCCTCTGAGTCCTTGCAGCCATGGCGGGACATGAGGCTGTGGGAAACCACCTCTGTCATGGGCTCTCACAGTCATAGGTCCCCTCCTCAGTCTGATCAGGTGGCCAAATGTTTGGCTCCACCAGCATGCCCAGGAGGGCTGATTAAGTCTGTGGTTCTCACCACAGCACCACCTGGCAATACTTACAGAGTGAACAAGTGACTATTCCAAGGAGAAATTCCAAAACCTTAAGGTATTCTCCAATATACAAAAACAAGATCATAAAAATATACTTTGAGTACTAAAAACAAACCACACACACATACACACACCATATCCACACATGGAAAAAGAAAAGATTTATACTATAATCTTTTTTTGATTTCTACTAAAATATTAACAGTGGTTATCTCCTGCTGAAGGGCTAACTGAGGGGGTTTATTCTTTATGTTCACTCTCTTTTCTAAATATTCTACAATGGAGCCCGTGGCGCACTCAGGAGAGTGCAGCGCTGGGAGAGCAGCAACACTCCCGCCGCGGGTTCGGATCCTATATAGGGATGACCGGTGCGCTCACAGCGCTCACCGGCTGAGCGCGATGCAGCCGGTCTCAAAAAGGGCCGGCCTGTGGCTCACTCGGGAGAGTGCGGTGCTGATAACACCAAGGCCACGGGTTCGGATAATATATAGGGATGGCCGGTTGGCTCACTGGCTGAGCATGGTGTTGACAACACCAAGCCAGGGGTTGAAATCCACTTACCAGTCATCTTTTAAAAAAAAAATAAATAAATATTCTACAAAGAACATTATTACTTTGTCTTAGGGAAAAAATGAAATAATTTTTTAAATGACAATTAAGAGCTAAAGAGCTGGGCCAGCCCGGTGGCGCACTGCTATAGTGCGCCGCTTGGGAGTGTGGTGGCGCTCCCGCCGAGGGTTCAGATCCCACATACAGACCGGTTCCCGCTCACTGGCTGAGCGAGGCGCGGGAGCAGCGCCGAGGGTTGCGATCCCGTTGCCGGTCCCGGTCCGGTACGGGGGCGACACTGAGGGTTGCGATCCGTTGCCGGACACGGATAAAGACAAAAAGGAAAAAAAAAAAAAAGAGCTGACCTTGTATGGAAAGAGATTTAACGCACGACCTCGGAGTCTCTCTTCACGTAGCAGAGCAGCACTCAAAAGCATGCCATTGCAAATGGGCAACCCAGAGCACCCCTCAAACAGAAGACAGCATAAGTCCATTACACTGTCAACATTGAGAGCTGCGCTGAGTCAGACTAGCATACATTACAGAAAATTCCATCTAAGTATTGATATGTGGGCTATTTTTCAGGATCCTGTACCCAATATATTGAGATAAATTTTTTGCCTGTCACCACTGATTCTATCCGGCCCAAATAAATCCATCTAACTTGAAACTTTACTTCCACTTTGGGCCAAGATGGAGTAGCAAGGACGAATTTACTCTTGCACCTTAAAAAGTGAGCAAAACATATGGCACGATGGTTTTTAGATACTAGAAAACAAGCAGCACAGAAAGTGATCCTTGGGAGAGCTGCTGCCTGGAACAGGTTTCAGAGTGTGGTGCAGGGCAAGGAACCCAGGTGGAACCCAGCAGTCCCTTTGAATGGGGATGGAGCTGGGGGAAGAGGGCTGAGGCAGCTTGAGTTTAGGGCAGAGCACTGAGAACAGCAGCTGCACTGGTGAGAGGGGCATGAGTTCTGGAGACCCTCAAGTCTGCAGATGGAATGAAACAGCTCATGCACAGGAAGGAATCACTGAGGCGGAGGAAAGAATAATCAGAAAGGAGCAGGCAGAGCAACTCTCAGATCTCACCAGAGCTAGCAATAGAAACTATCACAAATGAAACACAGAGAGAGAAGAGACTGGAAAAAATGAGAATAGCAGTGAGCTGTGGGGCAAAGTCAAGCAGCCTAATATATGTATAAATGGAATCCCAGAAGGAAAGGAGGGAGGTAAATGGAAAAAATATTTGAAGAAGTAATGGCTGACATTTTTCCAGATTTGATGAGTACTATAAACTCACAGATTTAAGAAGCCCAGTAAACCTCAAGCAGAAGAAATATGAAGAAAACTATACCAAGGCCCAATATAAGTAAATATCCTTAGAGTAGTGATAAAGAAAAAAAAATTTACAGCAACTTAAAAAATTACATACACAGGAACAAAGGTAGGAATGACAAAAGATTTCTGATCATAAACAATGCAAACAAGAAGTCAGTGGGACATATCTTTAAAGTTCTGAAAGAAAAAAAAAATTAGGATTCTATATCCAGTGAAAATATAAGAAACAAAAGTGAAATACACGACTTTTCGGACATACAAAAGCTGAAAAAAAATTTGCAGATCAGCACCATAAGAATGTTAAAGTCCTTCAGGCAGAAGAAAAATGATACCAGAATATGAAATCTGGATTTACACAAAGGAATAAAGAATACCAGAAATAGCAAATTTATAAACATAAAATAGTATCTTGAATATATCATTCTCATGCTCTAAAACCTCCAGGGGCTTACCACTGTCTACAGAATAAAGTACCAATTCCTTACAGCGACCACCAAAGCCCAAACCTAATACATGTCTTCATATTAATTCCTAAATACATCTCATGAATTTCCACCTCCATGCCCTTAACTCCCCCATCTGCACACCAAGAATATATTCCCTCAATTTCTGTCTTCAAGTTGAAACCCAGTTTCACTCTCAGTCCCTCTAAAAAGCTCTGAGGTTACTGCGATTCCTATCACGCCACAATCCTGGCACTTAGCACAGACTGCCTTGAATTGCTAGTTATTTTAAACATGGAATATGCACTGAGTATACAACTAGAAATACATATTTACCTTCTTCTTAAGGGCGAAGACCATGTCTAAAACTTATTTCTTCTTCCCCCATCCCTTGTGTCACCTCAATTAGCACACTGCCTTGTATATAACTATTTGATGAATAAAACACACAAACAGAATGTCATCCAGAAAGATTTGCCAAAAGGTAAATGAATTGCATGTCAAAGAGGAAAAATAAATGTTAAAGGAATCAAAGGTAATGGAAAAAAAGTTAAAAGCAGATTTTAACAGAAAACTAGGTCATGTTACATGTGAAATTTGAGCTGGTTTTTTGAAAAGATAAAATCGACAAACCACTTGCATGGCTAACAAAAAAAAGAAGAGAGAAGATTCAAATAACAAAAATTAGAAATGAAAAAGGTGATATTACAACCGACCCAAATGAAATACAACGAATCATCCGAGACTACTATAAACAGCTATACGCCAACAAGTTCGAAAACCTGGAGGAAATGGATAAATTCCTGGACTCACACAAGCTTCCAAAATTAAACCAAGAAGATATAGAAAACTTGAATAGGCCAATAACAATAAAGGAGATTGAAGATGTTATCAAAAAGCTCCCAACAAAGAAAAGCCCAGGACCAGATGGATTCACAGCAGAATTTTAACAAACATTCAAAGAGGAAATGACACCAATTCTTTACAAACTATTCCAAAAGACTGAAGCAGAAGCAAACCTTCCAAACACATTCTACGAAGCAAACATCATCCTGATACCAAAACCAGGTAAAGATATAACCAAGAAAGAAAACTACAGGCCAATATCCTTGATGAATATAGATGCAAAAATCCTCAATAAAATATTAGCAAACAGAATACAACAACACATATGCAAGATCATTCACCACGACCAAGTGGGATTCATCCCAGGGAAGCAAGGTTGATTCAACATACGCAAATCAATAAATGTGATACAACATCTTAATAAAATCAAACAAAAGGACCATATGATCATCTCTATTGACGCCGAAAAAGCATTTGATAAAATCCAACACTCATTCATGACAAAGACCCTTTATAAATTAGGTATAGACGGAAAATATCTCAACATAATTAAAGCCATATACAATAAACCCACGGCCAATATCATCCTGAATGGGGAAAAACTAAAAGCTTTTCCTTTAAAAACAGGAACCAGACAAGGATGCCCACTCTCACCACTCCTATTCAACACAGTATTGGAAGTATTAGCCAGAGCAATCAGAAAAGAGAAGGAAATAAAGGGCATCCAGATTGGAAAAGATGAAGTCAAACTGTCCCTGTTTGCAGACGATATGATCCTATATATCGAACAGCCCAAATCATCTACAAAAAAACTCTTAGAAGTGATAAATGAGTTCAGCACAGTAGCAGGATACAAAATCAACACACAAAAATCAGTAGCATTTCTATTCACCAATAGTGAACAAGCAGAAAGAGAAATCAAGAAAGCCTGCCCATTCACAATAGCCACCAAAAAAATAAAATACCTAGGAACTGAACTAACTAAGGATGTGAAAAATCTCTATAACGAGAACTACAAACCACTCCTGAGAGAAATTAGAGAGGATACAAGAAGATGGAAAGACATCCCATGCTCCTGGATTGGAAGAATCAATATAGTGAAAATGACTATACTACCCAAAGTAATATACAAATTCAATGCAATCCCCATCAAAATTCCAATGACATTTCTCTCAGAAATGGAAAGAACTATACAGTCATTTATCTGGAATAACAAAAGACCAAGAATAGCCAAAGCAACGCTGAGCAAAAAAAAATAAAGCTGGAGGTATTACTCTACCTGACTTTAAACTATACTACAAAGCCATAATAACCAAAACAGCATGGTACTGGTACAAAAACAGAGACACTGATCAATGGAATAGAACAGAACACCCAGAAATCAACCCACGCACTTACTGCCATTTGATCTTCGACAAAGGCACCAAGCCTATTCACTGGGGTCAGGACTCCCTCTTCAGCAAAGGGTGCTGGGATAACTGGATATCCATATGCAGGAGATTGAAACTAGACCCATACCTCTCACAAACAAACTAATTCACCCACATACACACACACACACAAAAAAAAAAACGGGGTGGGGTGGGGTGGGGAAGATGATATAACAACTATACTTCCATGAAGTTGTTACAACAAGCAAACGGAAAGGACATTCTTGGGGGGGAGGGGAGAGAGGGAGGAGGGAGGGAGGTGTCGGTGACGGGCCATAATAATCATATACAGTGTATATTGACAAAATAAAAAAAAAAAAAAAATTCCACTTTAAGTGTTATGAATAACTAGTCTAATGACAACTTTTAAAAAGTACATGTGTTAATTAATACCTTATAGATGCTTTTGGTCTTCTATTTAGAGTTAGCATCAATCACTAGCTATGAAACAGGAAAAAAGCTTTTATCACAAAAAGAACCAGACTTTGTCTGTATCTTAATCAGCAAAAACAAAAAACAAACAAAAAAACTTACTTTATCTGCATCTGTTTCTCCAGTGTTATAAACGTCTTAAATGCAATTTAGAAATAAACAAAAGCTCGGGCCGGCCCGTGGCTCACTCGGGAGAGTGTGGTGCTGGTAACACCAAGGCCACGGGTTCAGATCCTATATAGGGATGGCTGGTTTGCTCACTGGCTGAGCGTGGTGCTGACAACACCAAGTCAAGGGTTAAGATCCCCTTACCGGTCATCTTTTTTAAAAAAAAAAAAAAAGAAAAGAAATAAACAAAAGCTTTATACAGTTTGTCATACTCTATCAACAACCCTGATGATCCTATAAACTATAGTCATAATTTTTTCATTTGACAAAAGTAAACCATAAATGTGACTACTGCATCCAGACAATGTTCTTTAGAAACAAAAGCCAAAGTATGGTTATGTATTAAGCCAACCAAACACGTAAAAGCTAAAGATTTTGATATGCAGAGTCTAGGAGTAGAAAAAGACCTAAAAACAAGCTTCTCAACAAACAATTTAGAAAAGTGACTTAATAGGGCCAGCCCGTGGCTCACTTGGGAGAGTGCAATGCTGATGACACCAAGGCCGCAGGTTCAGATCCCTATATAGGGATGGCCGGTTGGCTCACTTGGGGGAGCGTGGTGCTGACAACACCAAGTCAAGGGTTGGGATCCCCTTACCGGTCTTTTTTTTTTTTTTTTTAAAGTGACAATAAATCTTAGAGGCTATTTTCTGTTAAAAGTTGCCTCATGACAGTGACATTTCAGGGGTGTCTATGATCATGTGATCCTCCTTAGATCTGGCACCAGCCACACAAGAAGCACCCTACTCTTCTCAAGCCAAGATCATGGAAAAAGATCATGGAAAACAATGAATTTTAGCCAAGTAATTCTTTCTTTCTGAAATGTAAGATGTTACTAAGAAATGTTAAATAACATTTTACAATTGTTTAGTTCTATAATATTTCTATAATTTTTGTTCTGTAATCCAGGTTCTGTCAATATTTCTCTTTTCAAAATATATTATAAAATATATATTTCATATTTATATTAGAACAAAATGTTTTTCTAAAAACATTTATTTAATGTAAAATGTATATTATACATTAAGAGTGGAAACGAACTCCTAGTTTTATTGGTAATTTAATAAAAAGCTTACCTTTCCTTCCTCTCTTGGAAAAATAACATTTTCATACCAATTCCTGCACTGCTTAGGAAAGCAGTAGATTCGGCTACAGGAGTTAACGATGTCACTGACAAGATCCCAGTTAGGTGTGTGAGCAAGGGACATAACAGCAAGATTCAGAGGAAACTCCAGTAACCGTTTCACAGCCTAGAAGGAAAAAAAATTATATGGATATTTCAGGTTTCAAATCTATTTAGCAAACAGGGCAGGACTGGAAAGTCTACCCAATTAAGAAACAAAAATGAAACTCACATGAAAATCATTTTTCTGAAGTTGGCCCCCTTTGCAGGCGAGCGTGGGCAGGCCTGCACTGCCTACCTGCAGCAGGGCCCAGTTCTCGCCGATGAGCCACTCAGGGAGATCTGGGGCAGACTCGCCCACAGACTTGATGGATGCTGCTGGTAGAGGCTTGGCGAACTGCACCTGCTGCTTCAGCAGGAGGTTCTTCTTCTCTTTCCCCTCACGGCGTGTCTTCATCGGGCCAGGTGTCACCTGGTCAAACAGGGATTGAGGAGGGATGGCTGCTTCCCCATGATGCTGCTGCTTCTTCCTCCCGGTAGCTGCACAGGGGACATGCTCAGGGAGGCAGGTAGCTCACCTTCCAGCAGCACCCCCCATCTGCTAACGTGGGGAGAACACAACTCCTTCATGGGCAAAGGGAGGACTGGATGACATTTCACACTGAAAAGCCCCCGGTCATGACAGACGCCCAGGAAAGGGCAGCCACAGTCTTTTTAAAAGTTACTGCTGTCCAGGTTATTGGGTGAACGTTACCTCAAAACCATAATGATGGCAAACCTGAAGGATAAACAACACAGATGATAACCCTGCATTTCCTAAGGGTCCGAACAGCCATAGCTTTCCCTCATATTAACTCACAGCTGAGTGTTAATGCATGAGCCAACACCCCTGCAAAGTGCTCAGACAGCGAGTCCATGCCACCAACGAGGGCCTCGGGCTCCCGCGAGGCCACGCTCATCACACACATCCAGAATGCCCTACAAACTGCATTTACCATCTCCTTGATCACCGTGCCAGTCACAGCAGGGTTGTGAACACCCCCACATGCTGAGGAGGGATGGGGGCATAAGAGACACAGAAGACAGAGACTGGCAGTGCTGTCTGTACCCTGAGAAAATAAATCATGGGACGGACGGAAGAATGCACAAGGTGAAGCCCATCTGATCCTCATCCTTGGACATTTTCTGGATAAAGCAATTACCAGAGAAGTTGGCTCGGTGCCGCCTGTGCTCTTTCCTCATGTGCATGGGTGGCAGCTTCGCCTCGGGGATTGGCATGGGCTCGTACAGGAGACACAGCACTGGGTCCATGTAAAGGTCACCATCATCCTGCGGGGGCGTGGGTGGGGTCCAGAGCTGCAAGGCATAGATGCTGTCGCACAGAAAGCCATGGCCCCATGCACGGACAGGCATGGAGAATCATTGTGACAATGATGGTGCAAAGGCAAAATGGTGCAAGCCCCAGAAGGCTATGTGGCAGCTTCTTAACAGCCAAGCATGTATCTACCCTGCCACCGAGCTATGAGCTCCAGAGAGATGAAAATTCACATCCATGCAGACAGCACATGCAAGTGTTCACAGCAGCTTCATTCACGCTGGCAAAAGGGGAAATCACTCACCCACAGCTCCATGGGCCATTGCACCTGTCAGCCAACATGACTCAGCAGCAGGATGCAGCCGACCAGTGGTGCCCACAGCCACATGCCCAGCATGACCCTGTCACTCAAGGACCAGACTCCAGGGACAAGAAGGCAGCCAGGGGCGCCTGGGACGGAGCAGAGATGACATGCACTGGAAACAGGGCCTTTCCTGCACAGGCATCTCTGACACCTGCCACTCAACTACTGAGACCTCAACCCCTCCACCATCATGGTGGGCACAGAGCCTGAACCCCACAGGCAGCCAGCATGTGTTGAACAGAAGACAGAAGAGAAGAAGAGGGGACAGAGTCGAGTTTACACAAGGAAAGTTGTTAACTCATGGACATGACTTCAGTCTGTCCATCTTCACCTTCATAAAATATTCCTGTGTTAAAGAGTTAAAAAAAAAATACTCCTTACACACAGATGTTTCTGAGTCACCCTCAATATATTATCAAAAAACACGCTGTGTCCCTGGATAATTTCTGTGGTATTAACTCTATCCATGTACAAGTTGTTCACACACTACCATGTCTGCAAAATCCAAATTATCTTCCATTGCTAGGAGTACAGCTAAAGCTTCAGAAATTTCCAAAGGAAATAACACTCCTGACAAGTTCATTTTGATGTTCTGGGACTTTCCTAAGAAGAATTCATAGTATTTTCTAGGCCTTTATAATGACTACTAATTGAACTGCTTTCCTGAGGTTCATAAAACTTATGAGATTCACCTTCATAACACTTTGCATTAAAAGAATATTTTCTTTAGGTGGTGCCTCCTTAGTTGTTCTAACAAGGTGGTCACTCAAGACAGCAGTAAAAATTGGACTAGAAATTCAATTTCCTACCAGCCCCTCTGGGGTTTGCTTATGCAAGCAAGTCAGGGTTGGACAAATCAGGGCTTTCTGCCGTGAGCCCTCAGTGGCTCCTCACATAACCCAGACAGACAGAACAGTGAGCAGGACGTCCACATCTGCGGGGCGGGATCCAGTTCTATGAATGTTAGGAACAGACTTTCCATCTCTTCACAGTAGGTGGCAGATGGAGGATGCCACAGTCCAGAGGACACCCACCTTGTTGTAGGCATCTTCCCTTGTGTACATCAGCAGCTCCTCTTCCTCACACGGTGTGCTTCCTGACTCTCCCTCAGATTCTCTCATGCTGTGGAATTCCCACACGACCCTCACGTCTTTCATTTCCTCCTTTCAAATACAATAACATAACTGGAAGAGGAGGAGGCCATCTCTCTCTCAAGGGCCACTTCGGAGTGACAGAAGAAGCAATTGCTCTACGGGATGGTCAGACATCAATGTAGAGACACTAGAAATATGAAAATACAAGAAAATATGTGATGGAGTGTGGATGTGTTGTCCCCTCCAAAACTCATGTGGAAATTTGATCTCCAATGCGGCAGTGTTGGAAACTGATTGAGTCATGGGGGCAGATCCCTCATGAATGGATTAATGCTCTCCCTGGGGGAGGAGGGGTAGTGAGTGAGTTCTCGTTCCATTAGTTCCACGAGAGCTGATTGTTTAAAGGACCCTGGCATCTCCTCTCTTTCTCTCTCTCGCTTCCTCTCACCATGTGATCTGCTTGTACCCACCAACTGCCTGCTGTTTTTCCACCATGAGTGGAAGCAGCCTGAGGCCCATGCCAGATGCAGCTGTCCCAGAATCGTAAGCCAAATAAACCTCTTTTCCCTATAAATTACCCCGTCTCAGGTATTTCTGTTATAGAAACACAAAACAGACTAAAACAATATGACACCACCAAAAGAGTACAGTATTCTCAAATACCAGACCCTATCGAGCAGGAAATCCTTGAAATGACAAAAGGAACTCTGAGCAACATTTGGAAGGAAACTCACTGAGATACAGGACGTCTCAGTTAGACAACATAATGAAATGAGAAAAAAAAAAATCCAGGATATCAAGGAAGAAATTTACAAAGAGAATAATGCTCTAAAAAAGAATGTACCAGAACTCATGGAACTGAAAGATTCACTCAACCAAATAAAAAACACAATTTATAGTTTAAGCAGTAGGCTACAACAAGCAGAAGAAATAATTTCTGATCTTGAAGATAGTCTTTTTGAAATAATCCAAGTGGATAAAAAAAAGGAAGAAAGAATTTTTAAAAATGCAGAAAACCTAAGAGAGCTAGTAGACAAACTTAAGTACATAAACCTTGGAATCGTGGATGTTCCAGAAGGGCAGGAGAAAGGAAAAGGCACAGAAAATCTATTTAACAAAATAATAACATAAAACTTCCCAGGTATAGGGAGAGACTTGGACCTTCAGATCCAGGAAGCTCAAAGATCCCCAGAGAGATTCAACCCAAAAAGACCCTCTCCAAGACACATTGTAGTCAAACTGGCAAAGTTCAAAGACAAAGAGAGAAGAATGTCAAAAGAAGCAAGAGAAAAGCATCACGTTACCTATAAGGGAGCTCCTAATGGACTAACAGCAGACTTCTCAACAGAAAGTCTAAAGGCCAGAAAAAAATGAGATGATGTATTCAAAATGCTAAACACAAAAACCTGCCAGCCAAGAATACTATACCCAGCAAGGCTATCCTTCAGAAATGAGGGAAAAATAGTATATCTTCCAGACAAACAAAAGCTGCAGGAGCTCACCACCACACGACCAGACTTACATGAAATCCTCAAGGAAGTCCTGCATCTGGAATCTGAAAAATGATAATCACTAAAACGAATACACAAGAAAGAACAAAACCCACATGTAGAACAAAAATGCAAATGAGAAAGAGAAAGAAACTAATCTTACCACCACAGAAAGCCATAATGGCAATGTAATAATACCCCTGCTTTATTTCTGATTTTAGTAATTTTGGTCTTCCCAATTTTTGTCTTGGTCCATCTAGATAAAGATTTGCAAATTTTGTTGATCTTTTTAAAGAATCAACTTTTGGGTTTGTTAATTTTCTCTATTTTTTAAAAATTCCCCATTTCATATATTTCTGTTGTAATCTTTGTTATTTTCTACTTATATTTGCTTTTGGTTTTGTTTGTTCTTTTTCTATTTACTAAAGGTAGAAGTTTACATTACTGATTTGAGATTTTTCTTATTTTTAATGTGGATGTTTACAAGTATAAATTTTCTCTAAGCACTGCATGAGCCCTGCCTCCTATAAATTTTGATGTGTTGTGCATTTATTTTTATCTCAAAGTACTCTCTAATTTCCCAGTGATTTTTCTTTTTACCCATTCTTTATTTAGGAGAATGTTGTTTAACTTTCCCACACTTGTGAGTTTTCTAAATTTCTTGCTGTTATTGTCATCAGAGAACATATTTTCTATGGTCTTTATTTTTAATGTGGATGTTTACAAGTATAAATTTTCTCTAAGCACTGCATGAGCCCTGCCTTCTATAAATTTTGATGTGTTGTGCATTTATTTTTATCTCAAAGTACTCTCTAATTTCCCAGTGATTTTTCTTTTTACCCATTTTTTATTTAGGAGAATGTTGTTTAATTTCCGCACACTTGTGGATTTCCTAAATTTCTTGCTGTTATTGTGGTCAGTGAACATATTTTCTATGGTCTTAGTCTTTTTTAATGTTTTAAGACTTGTTTTTTGGCCCAATATAAAAAAAATGAACAAAAAATTTAAAAAGTAATAATCAACCACATTGTATATTGACAAAATAAAATAAAATATAATATATTTTTTTAAATGTCTTTAAAACTGGTTTTTCCTTTTCAGTGAAAAAATATGAATCTTTTGCAGTTTTGAGGACAAAATTTCTAGCTAGAACTGAACTGGAGTTTGCGAATATAAAACAACAATGTGTTTATGTTATGACATGAATGTGTCCCCCCTAAATTCAGATATTGTGACTTAATCACCAATGTGATAGTAAGAAGAAGTGGGGCCTTTAGAAAATGTTAGGAATGGCATTAGTGCCCTTCTAAGAGGTGTGAGGGAGTTTCCTCCCTCCCATTTGCCCTTTAACCCTTCCTCCATGTGAGAACACAGTGTTCATCCCCTCTGGAAGAGGCAGCAACAAGGTGCCATCTTGGAAGTAGAGACCAAGCTCTCACCAGACACCGAACTTGTCAGTGCCTTTGTCTTGACTTTTAGCCCCCAGAACTGTGAGAAATGAATTTCTATTGCCCACTCTCAGGTATTTTGTTGCAGCAGCACAAATAGACTAAGGCAATCAGAACCATGCTGTTGGTTATTGCTTAATGATATCGGTGTAAATTTGTCTATGTCCCTTATCCTCTGAGAGCTTCTGTTTCCTCATGTAGCAAATGGATAAATTGATGCCTAATTATAGGACTGTTGTGAACAGTATATCAGGTAGAATGACATTGCCAGCTCAGGTGACATAAAAATACACACTCATTCAGTAAATATCAAATGGATAAATGATTGGATAATTTATCTAACAAGTAGCATTTGTAAAATGTTCATGGTTGTTTTGTTACATGTTCAATTTGATGGCCAATGTGCTTGATTTTTATATTTAAATGGGCCAGAATTATCTTTAATGCATATGGCATCTTAGACCTAATGGTTTTACATAAAGAGATTTGGCAATTAATAACAGATCTAAGTGCCTTGTGACTTAATATTTTGATAGAGTGTCTTATAGCTCTAACAGTAGAGGCAGGCCTGAAATAATGATTATTCCTTCATTCTACCATTGTTATTACTTTTCATGCCCATGTTTGTGTGTGCATGCACACATGTACACATGTACTATTGAGTATTATAAAGAGGTTGAGAGGATGAGATGAGAAGGTTAGGTAAATAGAAGAGAAAAATTCTTACAGTTAGAGTAGGGGTAAGATTTGCTCTATGAAGTTGTGCAGGGTCAGAATTATGTCATATTCTACTTCCATAGTTGGAGAAGATCATGGGAGCTTAGGCATGAGAGAGGTAAGTTGGTTCATTAGCCTTGAAGAAATACCCAAAGCTCCTACCAAAAGAAATGTGGGTATATTTTCATTTTGAGAAATTTAGCACAGTGCACATGTGGTTAATATTAACATAGCTGTACCAATTTAAATGTGCTTTGGTGTAATTTAAACCACCCACATAGTTTTTCTTTGAAAACATTAACTTGTGATCCTCTCAAAATTCTCATCCATGTTCATTGCTTGTGCTTTGGATTCATGCAAACAAACCATGAAGTAACCTTCCTGAACTCTTGGGCCTTTGAATACCCCTAACTTTTAAGACAAGAGCATATCATTTATTAAATACAATTTATCACTTCTACTTTTGTAACTTATTTAAAAACCCACAAAATTTATATAAGGTGTTTTAAAAAAGGTAGCCTCCATGTTTTCTTTATT